AAAAAACAATCATCTTTTCTCTTTACCGATTTTCGAAATTTCGAGCAATAACTGCTTTTCTGAACATTTTTTGGAAAAAATGTCAAATTTGACAGGAAAGAAAAATCACTTGGTCGGTCATATGCATGTCATTTGGAATCATTTTTAAAGTACAACCTAATGGAGATATCAAAATTTGCTTGAAGAGATGAACAAAAAAAATCCCATTTGATGCGGACTTTATGTGTGATACTGTAGAACTCAGCATCTTGAGACAAAAAGTCTTATGCCGCGTCTCGATATTCCCATTCCATCTAGCACAAAAAATGCTTTTCGGGTCAAAAAAAGTTACATTCAATTTTACGATTTGCTCGAAGATTTTGGTGAAATTCCTTTGAAGATTATAATTTCGCACCGAACGAAAATCTAAATGAAATCCGAACCATTCGCACTACAAAAATGGTTCTGGTATCAAACGGAAGACAGTTAAACGTTCTATCGATGCTTCTCTGAAGAAAGCACGATTTTCTTGTCTGAATAACTGAAAAAGCAATTTTCAGAAAAATCAACTTTTTCCCTATTTGAAAATTTGGCGAAGGCTACTAATCTTGCAAAAAAAATTTCTATCGCTTTGGAAACGACATTTCTCATCTTAATTTTCAAAGCTAAGCTGAAATATCTTGGGAAAACCAATGTTTTTCCACATTTTCTCAATGTTCATCATGAGTGGGCGGTCCTTGTACTAGAGCTCGTGAAATTCAAAACTAGTTTTGTTTCACGACAACTCATCTACCGAGAGCGGAATCACATTTTCAATATCCTTGAAAAATATTTCTACTTGAATATGCCAGGTTATGAATAGAAAACAGTGCATAAGAATTCTCAGTAATTTTTACTCAAATTCACAAATCACATTCACTATGGAATGCCAAAATATGAAAGAATTTGAGCGTCAAAATTTTAGTATACAGGGCGAAATGTAACAAAAATATTTCAAAATCCTATAAATAGATATGAATTTTTATTAATAAAACAACGATAAAAATAAAATAAAAACAACAATAAAAATTAATTGGCGCTCCGGGGCGACTTCAATGATTCCAGTGGTGCATTTGCTTTTTCAGCTGCAGGAAAACCCGGAAAAACCTGCAGCACCACATCATCTGAAGATCTTGATCTAACAATGTCTTCTCTCTAATAAAACAAAATGTAGGGTGTCTCCAGAGGCTCCAATAAATTCAATGCATCGTTAGAACACTTCGTGACATGATATGACGTGATATGAGTTATTTGAATCAGTCTGTTGATCATTTCTGATTTTGGTTTCTGTACATTTTCACCCGATTCAAGTGAAAATTTTGTTGAAATGTAAAAAACGAATCATTGCGAAATAATAATATATATCGCAACGAAAATTGTGAATCGCTCTATATGAAATAATAAATCTAAAATTTTCGGTTTATTGTAGTCTCAAATAGGGGAAGTTGAATGAGTTATTGTGATTTTTTTAACAATATGTATGAAAGCGTCAACTCATTTTAAAGTTTCATTTTTCATTTCCTAGTACCCAAAAATAATCACGTATATTCTTTAAAGTTCATAACATATATATGGAAGTTTGGTCTGATATCAGAACTATGGATTCCATTTAGTTTTTTTTCAATTCTATAATTATGTGTGATATTAACTGGTTGATATTGGTCTGAAATTGGCATTTTCCAGCTTTGGCACCTTGTATCTCGAAAACTATACATAGACTTTTTGTGCCTATTATGACTTTTGATCAGTAGATTGAGCTCAACAAAATACTAAAATTTCAAGCGATTAGAATACACAAATATTGATGATATGTTTTCATAGAGAAGAGTTCAAAAACACATGTAGATGAATAGTTTCAATAAGCTTGCCCTGTTTGTTTGGTTGTTTGGCTAGAATTTCCAATTGAATTTTGACCTTCTTTCTGCTGTCAGATTGATTTGATATTTTTTGGACACATTTTAGTTTGATTACAATAAAATTTAATGAATTCTGTATCATTGTAAATCCAAGATGGTCACAACTACAAAATGGCAGATAACATATTGTTTCACAATCACCTCAATATGAGTATCAAATGACAGGGCTTGACTAGTAGAATAGTACTACAATTTGGAAAAGATGCAAATTCAATGTGGTCGCAGCTACAAAATGACGTATTGCATATTACCTTGTAATACTGATGCACTTAATGAAATTAACAGAATGAGAAATATTTAGTAACAAAATTGGAAACTTTAAATTCGAAAATAAAATAAGTAAAAACAAATATATTGAATGGTTTTATTAAAAGAAATAAATCGAGGTAGATAATGTACTGAAAACTAAAATATAATTCGGAAGGTAATTTTTTACTCAGGTTACGCTACGCCCATCGATTTCATTTTTTTTTATCTGATCAATACGGTTACTTGTGGAGGTGAGTGGTAGGACGACTGCTACCTAGAACCTTCCGAATAATTTTTCAGTTTTCAGCACATTATCTACATCATTATCATCTTTCCTTTCTCAATACTATTTAACATATTTTTTACCTTTTTTATTCAATATATAGCTAACTACAAAAATTGCTGAAAAATACTAGAGATCCGTATTCAAAAAATAAAGTGGACGGTGAAATGAAACATGGCACTGCAAATTAGTTTTTAATCAGATTATAACCCACATGAAAGAATATTGAAAATTCTTATGCCATTTTTTATATCATTCATTTTTCTTTTATTCTTGTTTGAACTTTCGCTGAGAGCACAATTTTATTTAATTTATTTTTATTGAGTTAAACGAGTAGTATTCTCGTAAGTATTCAGACGAAATTATCGAGACTCATTATCCCTGAAAGAACATTCTGCGATTAAATTTTGTCAACGAGTTCAATAAAACACAGCAGCTATTTATTGTTTTTCATTACGAATCTATAGACCACAAATACGAAAATCAAATTCAATTATTCTATGACTCCTTGCAACGAGATGAATAAAATATAATATAAAATTCACTTAAATAATCTGGTAGCATTTCGCAGAAGTAAGTAGCAGTAAAAACAAATCAAGACAATCAATTTGGATGGTGTTTTGTGTTTTTTCTCGTAATTACCACTCGGTTTTTCTGATATGCTAACTCGAAATATGTTTTCAAAATATGAAAATGCTGTTTTGATTGAAGATTTGTTTGAAGGTATTCATAATGCACCATGAAAGTTTTGTCTTCAAGGCCAGATATTTCAACTGAGCATTTTTTGAATTCCATATTTTTCATTCTGAACAATTTTTTTTCCGGTTCAGATAAGTTTCAGTGAATGCTCCAAAGGGGTATGCTTCTCTGTAATGATATTTTTCTCTAAACGCTTATCTAGTTCTGCATTTTGCTCTTCAGTATTCTCTTCATCTGTAATCGAAAAAAATCGTTACATTCACTTCAAAAATCAATAAAACCTCTAAAAAAAATCTACTCCAGAAATTGGTGAAAATATTTACATGAATTTCTGAGAATAACTTACCTAATATGTTATGCTGCGTTTGAATTCAGATTGAAATTCATTTGACCAATAGGTACCTCGGCAGGTACTAATGTGTGAAGCAATTTCCAATAAATGTCACATTTTTCTGTTATATTTTTACCAGATTATCCATCACGTGTTAGGTTTTGATTAATTTTGGGTTCACTTTATATGATTGATATATGGAAAAATTTAGTTACAATGGTTTCTTTTTATATCAATGATTTTTTCTGCCTTTCACTCACCCCGGAATTACAATTTTTCAATATTTCTGTGAGACAAGACAATTTGATATTTTCTATGTATTTTGCGGATTGAATTTTTGAAGCAAAACTTGTACGTGGCTTTTCTCATGAATAGTTTAATACGTTCTTTTCATTTATGAAGCTAAGGCCCGGTTCCATAATATCGGTCAAAAGCACACTTTACCAAAAGGCGCCTTTTCTCAAAAGTCGGCTTTAAATGTCCCAGGTGTTCCATAATCGAATGTGAAGTCGCCTTTACTGAGAGTGCGGTTTTCTTGCATTGAATGATAGTTGGCATCACTGAGCGTATATAAAGTGGGGTTAAATGTGTTGTTTTGGTTCGTTTTCGCGCTTCGCTGCCTCTGGATTTTTTAGTACTTTGTTTCTTTTCGTGTTGATGGCTTCAAGCAGTTGCAAGAAAAAAAAGGCATCGCCCTTCAGTAAGGAAGAGGAGCTGCGGTTAGTGGAGAAAATCTATGAAGAGAGGAAGTTCATAGAGAACAAAGAAACAAACAAGGTTTCAAATACTGCGAAGGTGAGTTCATTCCAGTTTGTAAAGAATGTGACTGTTCTTATCTGAGTATTTTATGTAACATTAGATATAATTGCAGGAAATGGCATGGGTACGGATTTGCGCTTTATTCAACACCAACACTTTAGAATTCAGAGGTGTCGACCAACTGAAGTCAAAGTATGACAACCTCAAAACAAAAACGAGGAAACAAGTGGCGAAAGAAAAAAAATATGAGAAGGGCACGGGTGGTGGATTCTTCATACCGAAGATGGACGACCCAGTTTTGAACATGATTCTAAAAATTGTGAATGCAAAAACGGTTGTAGGTCTCACAAACCCAAACGACGATGACAATGTGAGTAATTATTGAAACATCTTTGAATATATTTATGAAATTTTTTTTTTATTTTATTTTTTATTTTTCAGGCAAATGAAATAATTATGGAGAAAATGGATGAAGATCTGAGAAAAGATTCAGATGTCTCTCTTATTGAACCGCCATTGCTTATTGAAGAAATGGGAGTATGTATTTTATTGGTTTTAAATGTTTATAGTTTGACTATTTCATAAAGAATGCTTAATCAATGATTTTTAAATTGCAGGTGGTACTTGCAGAGAAACTGCCATCTGAAGAAGTTAGTATATTGATGCAAATTTTCTTAAAATAAAATCAATGAGATTAATTGTAGGTGCAAATTGCGAAACCGTCGTGCCATCAAAAACCCCCATCAAAAAATGTGCTGACAGGAAAAAAGAATCTCTCTGGTTGTTCCAGAAACGTAAGTTAAAATAAACTTGCTCTTGAACAAGTTGAGCATTTATTTATTTGAAGGTTGCTTCAGATAAAGTTACCAACTGGGCGGATTATAATCCTTATAAACTGCTGCGACATGTTATGCAGAGTTCATTAGGAGATGCGAAAGAAAATTATTACGAAGTCATGGCAGAAACCATGAAGGACGAACTGGAATTGAAAAAAAATAAAGATGTCAGGGAGCAGGAGATACACGAGTTGGAGAAGGAGAAAAATAATATTGAAATTGAATTGTTAGAACTCGAGCTGTTACGAAAACAAATTCAGTAAATGTTTCAAAAATGATTCTTCATGAAACTTTATTTTTTCTATGTACAATTTCAATATGAATTATCTCTTCACAAATTTGCAAAATGATTGTTTATTATAAGCCTTTGCATGTTTCTGCCTCCGTTCAATACATTTTCGTCATCTTGGTCTCCTCCTTCTTCTTCTTGTTCTTCTTCAACTTCAATGTCTTCTTGGACAAGCCACTCAGGTAGAGGTTCATCGCTCCAATCAATAGCCATAGTATGTAAAACCGCTGTTGCTATAATGACGGCCAGAATGGTGTTAAGTTTGAGGCGCATTCCGAAACTCAGAACTGGGAATCGTTTTTTCCACACACCATATTGTCTCTCCACAACATTTCTTGTTCTGATTATAGATTCATTGTAAGAATTTTCTGCCTCATTCATAACCCTGCGCAACTTAGTAATCAAGTATGGTTCAAGATGATAACCGCTGTCTCCTATCAAAATATATGGCTCATACTCATGACGCTCAAACTCATTCTTCTAAATACTATTGTTAAAAATAGTTTGGTCATGAGCCGAGCCTGGCCAATGAGCGACAATGTCCTTTATTCTCAGGTTTGCATCGCTAACAGTTTGAACATTGAGTGCGAAGAAGTTTTTGCAAGACCTGAATATTTCAGCGTCGGCATCTCCGACAGAATCTATTCTAACCAGTGTTCAATCGATGGCACCTATAACTCTGGGGAATCTTGCTATCCTATAAAATTTTTGAGCATCATTTTCCATCTCTTCCCTGGTAGATCTCATGTTTATGTACCTTTTCTTTAGACCTGCTATAGCACATGCCACCTTTTTTACTATCCTACATGCGGAAGTTTAATAGTATAACTACTCTTTAAGATTAAGTAGTGTGTATCTCAAAAACCAGAGCTAATAAAAATTTTTCATTGTTATTTTCGTTTTTATCACCCCAAAATTAGTAGAAATTGACTGATTTAGTGTAGGAAACATTCAAAAAATATTTTTTTTTGTGTTGTGTTATGGAACCGGCCCTTAGAATCGATTCTATTTATCCATAGTAACGAATCTAGAATTCTCATTATTCTGAATGTTGCATGACCTCGGCTTATTTTGTTCATCATCTCAGAATAATTCATTGACATCAATGGAAACATACAATCTTCAATCGAGTATTAACAGCTCAATTTGGTCTCCTACATATTCTTAAATTCCTTAAACGAACTGGTAGTTATCGTGAATTTTCTTCAATTTGGAATTAACAAATTTCCAATTAGACTATATTACTTATATTTCGAATTGTTATTCAAGTCTCTTGAAATAGAATTGGAGATTCATGATTTTAACTTTTTGTTGATGTACTTTTTTTTATGGGTTGGTGTCGTATTTGATAGGTAAACTACGATTACTGTTTAACCTATACAGATTCTACAAAAGTATTCAACTCGGGTTGAACGGGATTTTTGTTTTCCGATTATTGATCTCTGTAGTGATTAGTAAGATCTGCAAATTATTGTCAAGAAAAATTCACTGTATTGGTTTAATTTTATTGTACATTTCTATTTTATTTTTCATTATTTTGATTACTTTTCATCTCGACATATCGTAAGAAGTACTGTATAGTATTTTATCATTAATGAGATAAGCCTCGGATAGTCTTTGCTGACTAGTTGGGAAGAAAACTTCGGAAGTATCTTTGGGTAATCAGCAAAACGGAAGTGTACCTACTCTTATAACACTTTCACGTCGAATTTTATAATAGAATGCCGTGACCAATATTCATTCAAGACATATGTGTGGTGTGTGTTATTACATAACCGAATAATTGGACCATATATTTTTACAGAAAATTTGAACGCAGACATGTACAGAAATTCAGTTGTCTGAAATTTTGAATGATCTGTCTCTAAGTTTTGGACGAAATTTGTGGTATCAGCTTGACGGGGCACCGATTCACCAAACGAAAGAAGTGAAACTGTCTCAGTCAGATGTTTAAGGACAAAATGATAGCACGGGGTTATCTGTATAACCCCGTGCTATCATTAAGTGTATAAAATTATTGAGATGAATCAATAAATGTTATGATGTTCTGTTGTGAATTGTTATAGTTATTTTGGTTTAATGTTATTTACACACCTAATGGATGTTTGAAAAAAAAAGTCAAATTTGACAGCTTTACAGTAGCAGATGACAAAAGGAAAGAGGGTTATATATCAACAAGTTGAAGACAATACTGATGAGAGATGAGAGAGATGAGTAGTAGAGTACTTTTGCAATGACACTTTTTACTCAACTTATCATCCACTATCATTTTCCTCCCATGTGGGAAGCAAACGGTGGAAAGACTCGGAAGCCGGTACTCCATGACATCAGAGAATCATTAATCGCTGCTCGATCGATTTCTTCCATAGCTTGGCGATGTAGTTCATTCCTTAAAATGGAAAATTATATTTATAAATATAACTTATTTAACTATAACTCATGAAACTTTTAAATAGCTACTTTCGATCCGCACTTTTTATATTTGTTTTGATAGCTGTCCTTGGCCTGGTGGGCACCCTGTTTTCCTGGTGGAGCTACTATCATTCCACCTGCAGTAGGGTGGGTTGTTCATTTGGATTGGGTCCCATCTCGAGGCCGTTGCGCATACCTACAGCAGCAACCATGAGATGGGTATCGGCAACACTTGAAGCTCCATCTAGGGGAAATGCTCAACAAAATTCAACTTCCCATTCTTCCCTTGCTTTGTTAACAATATTCCATACGTGAATGACAACCTTCTGATATGTGGCTATTTGTTTCTGTGCATTATCATACTGTAGACCTAATGCTTTGATTTCTAATTGCATCATTTTGGTTTCTGCTAGTGGTTCAAGTTTTGTTCTCAGATAATCAGGTACCAAATCATATGCGAATGTTGTCACTCTATGCTCAGTTATTTGTGCTGGAGATAACATGAGAGGTAGAATTGTTAAATCTCTCAGCACTGGATACATGAAAGCAATATACTGTTTCAAATCATTAACTTTCTGGATAATTGTTTCTCTTCCCTTTGCTGCATGTTGTTTGCCGCTTTACCAATTCTTATGAAAATATACTGAAACTGTCCTTTATTACAGTTCAACTATATATTTATGCTAATATCTCACTGGCACTATCCGTCTCACTAATAGGTACCTTGCCAGGTTCTAATATGTGAAATACTCATAATCCTTTCCAAGAAATGTCACATTTACCTGTTACATTTTTATTTGATATCCATCGCGTGTTGTGTTTTGATCAATTTCGGATTCATTTTACATGATTGATATATGGAAAGTTTTACTTATATTAATCTACTAATATTAATGATTTTTTCTGCCTCTTACTCTTCTCGTTAATTTTACTTTTTCAATATTTCTGTGAGGTAAGACATGTTGATAATTTTTATGAAGTTTGTGTATTGAATTTTGGGAGCAAACACAACATCAAGTGGGCTCAAGCTGAATTCAATCACAAAGAAGAACACTGGTTCAGGAGAATATTCAAAGAAGCCTCGTATATGTTGTCCAACAACGCATTCAGTCAAGCTAGCGTAGAGATACGTAACATATGGAAACCTCTAATCAAGAGAAAAACGACCAACTCCCGCCAAACGGCCATCTCCCGCTAAAACCAATGAAGTGGATCTCGGAGGAATAAGTCCAGTTATCACCCGAAGACGATTGTGGATAAGACAATGGAAGTACAAACTGATGAAATACACCACGAAACATTGTCAACCACCTTCAAACTAACCTTCCGCTTCTTGGCTCACTCAAAATCACACTCTAACATTAGAGGTGGTGAAGTTTTGCTTTTCTCCATCCTACGTTTCAATCACCTTGGGAATGCTCAACAGATTATCACCCAGAATTTCTGTCATTTGTGACTAATTCTTCTCCTCGATGATGAAATTATCATGAGGGAAAAACAAATTATCTATGTCATGACATCGAACTGCACAGTTTCATAGATCATTTGAATTATGTGCTGTGAAACTTCACAATTCATTGCTTGAGCAATTGAAGAGATCTAATATCAGGAATGTTGAATACAAATATTTTTATACAAAACCCCTTGAATGCATGAGCGTTCACCTCTACTTGCACATCTTCAAAATATGTGAGGACTTGATATTTCTTGGAATTCTAAGATATCGATTTCTATCTTCTGAGAAATACACAAATATTGATAATGTTTTTTCGGAGACATAAGCCGGGAAGCACATGTATTTAAAAAGTTTTATTAAGTATGCCCTATTAGTTTGTTTGGCTCGAATTTAGTAATTGAAGTTTGACCCCCTTTCTGCTAACAGATTATTCTGATATTGGTTGGATACCTACATTTAGTTCTTATGACAATACAATTCAGTAAATTGTGTATCATTTTTTTCCCCAAAAAACCTTTTATCATGAAAATTGTTTCCGCAAATTTTTTTCAATACATAGCTAACTACAAAAGTCGATGAAAAATAATAGATATCCGTATTTAAAACGTTAGGTGGACGGTGAATTGAAACATACCATTGCAAATTAGTAAACTAAAACATGATATAAATATCATGTTTCAACCCATATGAAACAGTATTGAAAATTCTCATGACTCTTTTCATATCATTCGAAATGAAGGCGGTAGAGCCAAAATCCGGCAATTCTATTTCATGGCGAATAATTCAAAAAAATAAACACCGATATTATCGATCTGAAAAAAGGCATTCTAGTTTCTCAAAATAGGAAATTTTCGTCCGATCCAACCGACCGTGTAGTTCTTACATTTTCGTGTATGCAAAAGTGTGATCATCTTCATATATTCATTATTTCATATAACATCGTTATTAGTTATCATTTCATGTTATATTGTCTTCCCGCTGGTTTAATTCTTAGATGAAATTGAGATTACTAGATGATTTTTATTATAAATCACATTTAATTTCAACTTCTGTGATTTCAATTTCAATTATTTTCCCATCATTCTTCCCTGAACTTCCGCTGAGAACAAAGTTTGATTTCATTTCTTATTAGTCGATCACATATACTTATTCAATACGTCGCGTGAATTTTTCAAATCCATTTGTTCTATTTGAAAATGTTAACAATACCTTGGGAAGCTAAACTAATCAGTAGATGTAGAAGCATCACTTCGATATTGACCAAAGAATAATGTGTGTTTATTTATGACACCACATAAAATGAAACGTCCAACATTTCAATTTGTCATTTTTATTGAAAACAAAGCAGCATTGAAGAAAGAAATGACATTTTTATTAAAAAATGTATAACACAATATAATCGATATGAATGAACGTGAAAACTACTACACGCTACAGAACTACTGCTATAGTATTTCTAATACCAATTGGAACAGCACAGAGAATAAGGAATTCCCGCCTCGACATTGGCGTCGGCATAAATGAAGGAAAAAAATTCCGAAAGCCTGAAGAGCAAATACTGTTCTCCTAGCCGGGCAGGCGGTCCTCGATTGAAGACAAAATGAGAAAAACCAAGAAAGTACTTGATAAAAATAGCTGCGTAAACGCAAGCGAAACCGCCTATTGGTGTGACACCCAAATTAGAAAATTTGGCAGAAATTTGGGTTAGCTTTCCAAATTTCTGCCACCGCAGATGTCGGTTGATTGGTCAAACCACCAACACTGACATAAAAAATTGGCAAGTTGACTTGGATGTCACACCAATAGGTGTTTCCACTTTCAAACCAAAGCTCAACAATAATATTTTAAACGTATCAAAGCCAAACTTGAAGAGTTCATGAGAAATGTTACAGGTCAAAAACTCACAACGAGCTTTTCCATTTTTGTAGCATAATCACCCTGTATTTCGAATAGTAAGACTGATTCATTCTATATCAACTAATTCAAATTTATAGACAACCAACATCTCTTACGGGACTTATTTCATCCCGTACAATTTGGATTTGGAACTTCCGGAGGATGTGAAGTACTCGCTCACGCAGCACGCCGTTTCATAAATCAGCATCCGAACTCATCTTCAACCATTTTTCTAAAACTAGATTTCCAAAACGCATTCAACATGATTCATAGATGAGTATTTTTCGAAAGAATCATGGATCTGACACCTGATCTTTTCCACTTCATCAGTCAGTGTTATCAAAAGCCAACTTTTTTGAATTTTGGAGATAATGTCATCATGTCAAAAGTCGGAAAGAGAAGTTCAACGAGGAGATCCCCTGGGTCCTGCACTTTTCTGCTTATCCATCGATCGTCTGACGAAATCAATTGAAACTGATTTCAACTGTTGGTACTTGGATGATGGGTCTATAGGTGGTCACCCAGATATAGTGTTCAGTCAGTTCAAAAATATATTATCGTCCTCTGAAGAAATTGGATTAAAATTGAATTTTGAAAAATGCGAAATATTTTTTTTAAATTCACAAGATGCATCAGTAATAGAAGAATTCAAGTAACTCCTGGAATAAAAACAGTTATTAGGCACAAATTGACTCTACTTGGTGCACCACTTTCAGAAGAATATTTGGCTGTTTGTTTAAGTCAAAAAACAACTTTCCTAAATTTGATGACCTCACATATCAAGAGCTTTCCTGCTCACATTGGATACTTTTTACTGAAGCACTCTTTAGCAATTCCTAAATTATTGTATACCCTAAGAAGTAGCCCTACATGGCGATGTCGAAAAGAATTAGCACAATTCGATTCAGCACTTCGAGAAATCTTGGAACAAATAACTAATAATAACTTCAGAAACGAATCAAGGATCCAAGCTTCGCTTCCAGTGAATCTGGGTGGTATTGGCAGCCGACAATCATCTTCACTTGCTTTACAAGCTTTTCTCTCCTCCTTCAACAGTATAAAGCATCTGATTCATTTTATTTTACCAAAATTCTTCTTTGATATTGATGATTCATTTTATTTGGAAGCTGAAAAAATATGGATGGAAAAATCAAATTCACCAATACCTGATAACAAGGTCTCTCAAAAATCTTGGGATTTTTCTTTATTGCAGATGTTATCTACAGAACTCATGGCTGCAGCTAAGGACTCCCTTACAGATCAAGCTCGCCTCAAAGCTGTAACAACTAAGGAATCTGGTGCCTGGCTCAACGCACTTCCCGTTGCTTCGTTGGGAACATTATCAGACGACGAAAGTTTCAGAATTTCAATAGGTATTCAATTAGGGTGTTTGATTCGTGTTAATCACCAATGTCGGTGCGGTTTCGTTGTTGATGAAAATGGTACACATGGCCTCAGTTGTAAATTTAGTGCAGGTCGCTCCTCCCGATATTATGCAGTGAATGACATAATTGAACGAGCATTGTCAACAGCCAATATCCCTTCTGTGATTGAACCTCTTGAAATTAGCCGAGATGATGGAAAACGGCCTGATGGAATGTCTCTCATTCCTTGGAGACATGGAAAACCTTTGGTTTGGGACTTCACCTGTGTTGATACCTTGGCTCGCTCTCAACTCAATTCAACTTCGCTAACATCTGGTGGGGTCACTGAATATGCTGAGAAAATGAAACAGTGGAAATACGTTTGTCTGTAACATCGATATATTTTCTATCCAATTGCCATTGAAACATTTGGTAGCTCTGGTTCCTTTGCTCTCAATTTTTTCAGAGATATAGGTCGAAAACTAATTACAGTAACAGGCGATTCTAGAGCAAGATCATTTCAAATACAACGAATCAGCATTGCAATTCAGAGAGGAAATGCTGCATCAATCCTTGGCACCATTTCTCCTTCTCAAAGTCTTGATGAATGTTTCTTTAGCCCACTAAACTGGTCTGATACTACCGATTTCTCCCCAGCTTCTTGTTGAAAATCATCCAAACGTTAATGAGAGTAAATCAGACTTCAGTTCTAAAAAAATTGTCGAATAATTAACAGACAAACTCAACACTACCAATTTCAACATCATGGAAGGACAAATGCAGAAGAGAAAAAATGTTCAAATCCAGGAAAATTTTGCAGTGATTCAACAAACAGCCGAATCTCCACCTTTTGCCAATTATCCGCACACTATGATCTTCCCGACGATGAACCACCATCATTTGCCTATGTCTGAACCCGTCAACAACTTTGACGAAATCGCTACTGACCAGGATGCTGAAAACAAGTTCAACGACAATCTTCCCTTATTCAAGCTTTCCAGAAGGTCCCACCAGTTTGTAGATCCAGACTGTTATAGGATGGGCATGTTTCTATCTACATATATGATTGACGGTAGGGCGGTGAATTTGCAGCCAGGGGCTCTGCTCAATCAAAACAATCACTGTTATGTCAACTCTATTTTGCAAGCCCTGATTGCATGTCCACCACTCTACAACTTACTAAACAATCTGAGTAAATACATTTTTTCGAACGAGAGAATGACATCTACCCCGGTTATATTTAGAATGTGCCGTTTTGTGGAACATTTTGTTCACCTACCTTCTTATTTTTTGACGAAAGACGGAAGAGTAGATGAAAATTCCAAGAATGACCAAAAAGTTTCAATCAACACTGGCATCCCATTCGGTCCGACGTGGATTTATAAAATGTTGCATAACATGCGGACTGACTGGATCGATGGTAGACAACAAGATGCAGAAGAGTGTCTAGGTTTTCTTTGGAATGGATTCAATGATGAAATGTTTGAGCTAAATGAGTTGGTTAAATATTATATTGAAGATGAAAAACCTCTCGTTGACTCTGCTTTGAGCAATGATTCAAATAATGTATGGAACAAAATGGAATCGAAAAATAGAGGACATCCAACCAGAAGGATCGACTTCACCAATACACCGATAAGTGACATCTTCGGGGGGCAACTAAAGTCGAGCATTCATCGCAACGTGGACCACATTACTGAGAATACCCAGCCTTTCCTCACCCTGCCACTCAACATTGAGAAAGTGAAGACCGTCAGAGGAGCGCTTAAGGTACTTGTCTCCAAGAACATTTTAGAGAAAGTGACTTCGTCAAAAACAAACAAGAAGGTCGAAGCGTGGGAGCAAATTACGCTCTGCAAACTTCCTGTTATCCTTATTTTGCTTCTGAAGTTTTTCAAATACAGCAACGACCGTTGCACGAAGATTATCAAGGCTTTTGATTTTGAATTCGACTTGAAGGTTGATTCGACTTTGATATCGTTGAAAACACAGTCTCCAACAGAGAAACAATATAAGCTATTTGCCGTCGTTTACCACGAAGGCAAAAATGCCAACATTGGACACTACGTTACCGATGCCTTCCACGTCGGCTACAACTGCTGGATTAGGTACGACGAGTCTTCGGTCGTGCAAAAAGAAGACGTATTGAAACCCCAGTTAACGCGAGTTCCTTATTTGCTGTTCTACAGGAAAAGCGATATGATCCTATCTAAATAAGGTTGCTACTTTTATGTAGAGTTCAGCGTCTGGAATCTTACGGAATTTCTCTTTCTAGTTTTTATTGAAACACACACACACACACCAATCAAATGTAATTACGTCACTATGTCACACACACACACCCAAAAATCTCATATGAAAAAAAAATTCTGAACGATCCCTGCATCAGACCCTTCAAGGTCACATCGCCTTAATGTTACTAAACAACAACAAAAAAAAGCAATTAATACATCATAGTGGTGGGGGGAGGCCCAGAACCGGCTGTAATCTGCTACTTACATTTTGTGGGATGTTTGACTGGAAAACGGAAAAATCTCAAACTATGGTCATTTCTAGTTGAGAGTCCACATTCGTTGTAGGCACATTTATGGCCAGACATCTGGAAATGAAGATAAAATTGTAAAAGCTGGAAATGAAGATAACATTTTAAAAGGGACAAAAGGCTAACAACTCAATAAGGTAAACTTGCCGATAAAAATAATCTCATTATTCATAAAATTTTCACCAGTTAGTGCCCATTCATCACATATTTTGAAATAATGACCAACACCAACTTGAAAATCAGGTCACTTGTTATACAAAGGTACTAGCCGAATGTAATAATGTATGATTTTTCAGATTAGAAATGTGGAGAGGGTGCATCAGAAGGTGAAATATTATATGTCCCAAGATCATTTGGACAAACAATGAACATTTAACTTCATTTTGGTGACTGCATAATTTATTCAGGTCGTGAGTAAATACCAATTCTCCAAAGTTGCTGCAACCTAACCTAGTGCACCCACTTTCATTTGTTGAATAATTCATTTTGGAAATACATTTGGAGGGATCTAATAACATGAAATTTGAAATATAATAATTGAATATATTTTTACCTTTTTTCGATGTTCTGTCACAGCTCACTCACAATTATTGTCTTATAAAAGTACAAATAATACAAACTATTAACTACTAAAGGCACAAATAACATAAACTGATTACGAAGAAAACAATAAAACCAGATCAGAATCAGAAAAATTCACTACTAATAACAACCTCTTATATACCTATAAATTGCAACGCAAATGGCTGGCTGAGCATGACACGAAGACAAAGCCTGTCAGAAACATAAAATTAATCATTTACAACTTTTCACTACGACACTTTCCATCTCAATCTTTTATCTCTTTTTTGGAGACCACGGTATCGGCGCCATCTACTTTTCATTTCCATCGTCCTCCAATCGTCCTCCATAAGGTTGACTGACTATAAATCCTCAGACAATGATTCAACTATAAACCCAGTGTACCAACATCTGCAAACAAATAGTCTCCATATTCTTGCACTCTCAGAAACCAAAGTCAGTGCTTCAACAATTTTCTATATCCTGGCTATGATTTCCACTCCTGATTCAGACGTAACTTTGAAATATCTCTTTTCATCAGAAGCGATCTCTCCTGTCAACGAGAGGAAATGCTGCAACCCCAAATCTTTGTATAATGTGGTTCAAGATAATATCATAGAAGATCACTAAATTCATATGCGGTAAACGCCGCATATGAATTTAGTATTGAGTGTTGTTTCAGTATTGAGTGAAATACCGATTGATGTTGGAGAACAATCAAAGCCGTGCAAAGTTTGGTATTATAGATCTGCTGAGTGGGAGGATCTTCAAGACCAATTCCGAAATTTCCCCTGGCTAGTTATTTGTTTCAGCTCTAAATATCCATCTATTTGTGCTTCGGAACTAACGGTTTCATATATTTTGTTTTAAATGAAACGAATTTCTAACAATTCGGTTTCATATATTTTGTTTTCAATGAAACGAATTTCTAACGGCAAACATTGGTTCAACAGAAATTGCGAGCCAGCTGTCACCTCCAAAAATCTCTCCTCCTGGCAGTGGCGCAAAAACTCCAGTGCCGAAAATCAATCTGAGTTTGTTAATGCTCGCAACAGCTGCAGAATTAGGATAAATGAAATCAAAGATCTTCACAATCAAATAATTATGGAAAAACTGCTTGCCAATCCAAACGGGTCTACATCCTTCTGGCTGGTAGCTAAAGCTGTTAATCAAAACTTTACATAATCAACAATTCCACAACTACCACAAGTGGATGGTTCGGTTGCAACAACAGCCATAGAAAAAGCAATTTTACTACCTGAACAATTTGCTTCCCACTCCACAGTCGATTATCTGGAAAAGGCACCACCCACTATTCCCACGCTAGAATCTACAATGCCGGAAATTATTTTTCGGCAACGTCTAGTCAGGCGAATTTTGAAACAGCTCAATATCATCAAGGCATCTGGTCCTGATGAAGTGCCCGTCATCTTTCCTAAAAATTGCGCAAATGAACTCGCACCAGTATTTTGCAGACTTGTCAACCTGTCTTACAACAAGGGCTTTTTCTTTCTTGTTGAAAGATTGCTCGTGATCAACCTATTCCCAAAAAGGGCAAGAAAAATCTTCAAGATAATTATAGATTAGTTGCTTTGCTATCAGTGATATCAAAAATCATGAAGAAAGCCATAAACCACCACATCCTCAAATATTTGAAAGGCTTTAACATCTTGAACAATCATCAATATGGCTTTCAGAAATAAAGATCAACATGCGACCTTCTATCGTATGTCACCCATATTCTTTCTTCGATAAGTTTGTTTGGCACAATCACGTCGATGGAATTGCAAAAGCCGCTTCTCAAAATTTTTGAACACTGTTACGAACCAGAAAACTGTACACACATCAGCAACTTTTGATGTTTTATAAAGCTCTGATCAGACCTTCTTTAGAGTATTGTTCTCATGTATGGAGCTCCGCCCCCAAACACACCCTGAAGCTGCTAGATTTCATCCAGAAAAGAGGCATCCGCTTGATTGGAGACATGAACATCACCTGCAACCTTGATAGTCCGGAACATCGAAGAAAGGTTGGAGATTTGTCTCTCTTCTATAGAAGAAGACGGTAGATGTTCAAGTAACTTGGCACATTTGATTTCATAAGAGCGGTACATATCAGAAATACGCGAAGGCCTGTGGCTGCTCATCGTTTTGAGGTTCAACTCAGTACACCTCGCATTTCATTGTTTAAGAACTCTTTCATTTGAAGAACTGCGCTCGAGTGGAATAAACTTCCTAAGGACGTTTTTCCAAATGGATTTAATCTCCAGCAATTCATATCCAATGTGAATCGCTACTTTCGCATAGGCACCGCTCTTAGAGCGCCTTAAGGTTATTCCTGTAGTGCTTGTGTTCTATTCTTAAAAATAATGTCAAAATCGATTTGTAAGCTACTTTTTCAAATAAGGTATTCCGGTATCTCCAACGCGAAACAAAATATGTAGTATATAGTACTGTATACTACATACATACACTATTTACAATCATCCAATATGTAATAAAGAAAATAACTGAGTTATTAGTTGATTTCAGCTCTCAAACAGCAAAAGAGTAGCTCGAGAGCCAAAAAGGATATCTACTGCAAAAAATAGACCGGGCAACAATAAAAATGGCACTTATTTCGTGCAATTTCGTCTTCATCTGCAGTTGATTGATTTGCAAGATTTGACTTTCTCGCTCGCGGCATTGTAAATAACACTGGATATTACCGCCTTTGCTTTTATTAGGACATAACAGTTATTCATGCACGCTCAATCACAAATGTCATAACATCGATAGTCTTTGCGCGCACCATAATAGTTTCTCGAATGTTTCAAATAGTTATTCTGCTATTTCGGCCGGAGACGGGTCCGAAAAAGTTAAAATTATGAGAATCGATCAAGCCATTATTAACTTATCAATGGTGTGACTAACACAATATTGCGACTTTGATATATTATATATGATTGTACTTATGAATCCTTCATGATTTATGTGAGTTGATTTGAACTCAATTTTTCATGAACATAAATTTCACTCACGATATTACGGTTGATCAAAACTAACCTGTTACTCACAATTTGTAAAATGAACGTTGTATGAAATTTCAGGTACAGCTATTGTTTTTGAAAGTGCTCAAAATATAAACACCGAAAAGTCTCGATAAAACTTTCAATGGAAAATATTTCAATTTTCAGAAGAACCCGAATACCTAAGCGTGTTGGACCATTTTTTCATCTGTTCGTGTGTGTTCATCATGGCTATGTGGCATTATGTTTGAATAAAAAGAGAGATTTGACCAATATAACGGATCAGAGGGTACTCGATATGGAAGTATTCGCACCATTATTTTTCACTTCATGGAATTTCGTAAGTAAAATAAAGTTTACCTCTATATATTTGAATTTGAAGAAGTCATGTCAAAATCAATGTGGAAAAACAATTCATCATTTGGAATGATCTCTTTCAATATTGATTAATTTCAAATCATCATGAAAATCATCCTTGAACAGTTTGTAATAAAATAAAATTCAGTGTACAATTTTTAATGTATTGATTGCTATTAATTTTCTGAAAACTTTATGATGTGAGTTATTTAAAAGTTTTCATTTGGTATGAAAATAAGGCTATGTGGGTATAAATGTAATATTTGAAGACATCCTGGTCCAATATTTTGTAGTTGTTTTGATCTCACTACCGTATCAGAATATGATTATAAAACAAAACTAAACCTCCTCACTGATGATATATCTCTGTATTGTCAGCATCAAATTTTGATGCTGGTGAACTTATACATAGATCATCCCCTGAAGGCGTCCATCAGTTTTTTTCTGAAAGATGATCAGAATATGTGTTAAGTTGTTTTCTCATTTATATACTCCTGATTCCTTGAATTTGGATGGTTTTTCTTTATTATTTTCAAGTAACTTTCCCAACTTATTACCTGTTCTACAGGGTTATTCAACAAGATTTCCTGGTCTATTGCCATCAGAAGAAACTATTTTTCGAACTGCCCATTTTTTTGCTGTCATATCAATAAATACTATCTTTCAACATTATTTTTTCGCATACTGGGTGATTCAGCCGAGCATGGCCAACCAAAGTTATATTTTTGTTAATGAAACATGCAGTATTTGAATACGTTATTCGATTCCATATTTTTTTAGCTCTCTAAGGAATTTTAGTTTTTGAATTTTCATTTTTCCAGAAAAATCTATTTTGCAGACAATATTTTTGTAATTCACCACCCGCATGTCTACAGCAATTAAGTGGATTTTTTTATGAATAGTTAGACAACGTCACTATGATAATTTTTGGAACCACTTCATCTGAAGATCTTAATCTGCCAATGTCCTCTCTCTCTCTCTCTCTCTCTCTCATAAAACAAAATGTAGGGTGTCTCCAGAGGCTCGAATAAATTCAAAACTTCGCTTTGGGGAAAAGTGACGGAAACTGCCTCCTTGCATATAGCATTTACAANGACCGGTTTCGGGTTTAACCTCATTATGAAGTTCAAAACTGTTTTACAGTTGATAATGGGGTTAAATTTGAAATCGGTCGTATAAATAAAGTCAACTAGTGGTAATTAAACAAAAGTGTTTTTATTCATAACATTAAAGTGATCATGAATTACCACAAAATAAAAATGTCATCAATCACACATAATATTATTTATCTATATGATATTTATGATATGAAAATTGAGCATTTTCAAAAATTGTTTTCTCTGATAGCAACGGACCGAGGGAATCTTATTGTATATGTATGGTATTTGCAATTTCAATATCTCGTTCATTCAAAAATGTAGTCACTTTTTCTGTTGTCAGTCCAAAATATGTTAAAGCTTTATAATTTCGATTATCTACCTTATCAATGAAAAAAACGTGTCGAATCGCTTTTGCATAGACTTTTTTGGAAGAAATGTTGTCTGTTGATTCAGCTTTGAACCCGTTGTTCACTGCAATTTGCTTGATGATATTGAGTTCTATATTGAAACTATCTATTGCAAGAGAAACATTGACTGATTTGTGAATCATGCTACTTTTTGTTGATATGAATGTGTAGAATCGTGATGTATAGTAATATCCGTATAGGAAGGTTTGTGATGAATTGAAAAATCATCACAATCCAAATTCAAACATACTCTCTAATGAAAGGAAAAAATTCATATTCCCATTGACGAACCTCCAAATTCCAGAATTATACTCACTAATAAAATTGCACAAACAGAGTTATTCGATTAGACCAGTTATCTTTGTCACTGCACCATCAGTGAAATCATCAGAAAGACTAATNTACTCATGGGAGGCTTTCGGGTGGATTGAAATACGAGATATTTCAAGACACTGTTTCGCGAAGTGATTTCAGTATTGATTAATATTCGCTGATTATTTGGTTAGTTGTTTTGAGAAAAAAAAAGGGAGTCGCGAACGAACTCATAAGTAGATCGCTTGAACTTCCTACAGAGTCCTGGAGGTTTTTCGGTGGATTGAAATACCAGGTATTTCAAGTAAATTTCGCGAAGTGATTGAAGTATTGAAAATTTTCCTTGATTTATTTCGGTTTATTTGATTTGACGAAACATTTTGGGTTATTAGTATCACGACAAGTATTTGGGACAGCTTGAAATGAAAGTGGCTTTTGTCATTCTCAGACTACAGGAAAGTTTCAGCTCCGATCAGTTGGTTATGTATTATATAAGTTCTTTGAATATATATGTGTTCTATATTTTCAAAAACCTAAGGTAATGTTGAAAATATCATATAGCTACGAATCAGGTTCTTTTTTTCACTATCAGGCCATTATTAGGTTATAGCGTCTTAGGCACGTTATACAGGGAGGAACGATCAAGTTGGCTCCTCATAGTTTTACTCAATTTCATTTTTATATTGAATTTATTAGCATTTAAGCAAAACATACTTTTGTCGGGAGTGATGATGATTCGATTTCAAGAGTAATAATCCCGTCATATTTTAAAATTGGTTTTCACTTACATAATTGCACATGGTCATATTTATATAATTTTCTCTTTCAAATTACTCACGGTTATAATAATATTCAGTAAATCAGGAATATGAAAAAAGTATTGATATTGCACCGCTGAGGTTTAGACTTCAGTCAATAATTTTTGATATTTTCCATTTTCATCAATTGTTAGTCCAACTATTTCGCCCTCTGCATTCATCAATGAAGTTGAATTGTGTAGATTCTGCTGATGTTATATCATTTCCTCGAGCCCTTAAAATACCATGCATACGAGCTGTGGCCGAGTCTACCCTCTAAGGACATAATGATGACATAACCAAGCTAAAAAGTGGAAAATTCCACCTGTTGATCAAGCCAACTACTAATTTTGAATCTATGTGATCAGAACGCATTCCAATCGCACTACCACTGTCAATNGTTCAAGGTTAGGTGACGTCATTCAAGGTCGTGTGACGTCTCAAGGTCAAAAGGGGTGGGGGGAGGCGTTCAGTCGGCATTAGCACCCTACTTATATCACTAAGATACAAAGGGATCGCTTCAGACCGATGGTGGTTTAGTACATGAGAGCAATTCGTTCGTCAGAACAATCTTCAATACGGATCTATCATACGGTCATCATAAAATGAACGGTAATACATGACAAATAGAACATATTTTGGAGAGATATTCCTGAGATGTGGTTTCAATAAATCTATAAAAAATAACGAATATATTACCATAATAATTATTTTTGTTCTGGCGAAAATTTTATTCCGATAGTTGGTTCCGATAAAAATGACTGTCAGATGATATTGGTTATTCAGACTTATTCCTATAAGTTCCACCAAAAATATCTGTTTGGTGTAGGTAACCACGATGCTTAAACATTTGGCAATCCATTTCACGGTAACACGTATTTTCCTTCACTTCAGAATTAACAGAATGCAAATGTCTCTTAACAAATTTCAAATCATCATCAATTTGCCGTTGGTTTTGCATAGAAAATTGTATGCAAATATCTTTCTTAGTGGAAGGATAGAATGAGTATGGCATGGCATGGTACAATGAAATATTGGGTAATCATTCTTTGGATAGTTTATCGATAGGTTATTTAAANGATAAAATTTATCTCCAAATTACTATACAAATTTCATAAATTTCGAAATTATTTCTTTCAGATCGTTTACAGTGCGGGTTATTTGAAGCGTACTATCATTTTTTCATTTATGTTGTTTCGCTAATCAAAGTTTTAGACACTTCAACCGCTTCGAAAAAACAAAAATTTTTTTTTGCTACATATTTGTTAGAAAAAACTATAGGCCCATATACAGAGTGATTTACTGTCCCAAAATACGTCTTAAAGCAAATAAAGCATGACAGAAAAAACAGTGAAACGTTTATGGTAAGAACCGGAATCGAAATTCCATAAGGCATTTGAAGTGTAATTGAGAGAAAAGGTCCTTATGATATAGAGTGAAGAATTTATATCAAATTCATTGTGTTGATTTTCATGTGTGAAGTAGGTATATGACAACGGTGCATATTTTTCAGAGCACTTCGTATCATGAAGTTGTGTTTTATGATATAGAGCGTTCATGAGGAACGTATACAATTCGTATCAAAATACCTTCGTAACAATACCTGAAAAAGTCTGACAAGGTAGTATCATCAGAAGAAGAGCACGCCAAGAAGACCAAATGTGGATGAAACTAGTAGAAAAATCTAGATAGGATGTCGTTTTAGAAGAAAATGTGGTAACAAGAATCTAGTGTTTCAACATGCGATCCCCTTCGTTTACAGTGTGGCTTATTTGAAGAGTACAAATATTTTGTTATTCATGGTGTTTCGCTAACCGAACCGATCATAGATCCAACTCGAGAAAAAATAATGACTCCCGACGTGTATTTGAAACTCGCATATAAAATTTTGTAAAGATATAGCGCGTTGAAACGGTCATTTAGGAAACTTCCATTATTTTTCCAGACAGTAAACCGTTTATGACAGTCGATTGATCGAAGAGGGTTTGTGACATTATTCTCATGTAAAACATAGGAGCTCAGAATCGGAATTTCCTTAAACGTACGTAAAAATCAAATTCAATAAGACAATCAAAGTGTAATTGGGAGAACAAGTTTATTCATGATAAAGAGTGAGGAAATTATTGTGATGTCATTCCCATGTAAAACATGGGTATCCAGAATCAAAATTCCCTTATACGTAAGGAAAAATTAAATTGTTCAAAATGTATAAAGTTCAATTGAAAGAATAAGTCTTCATGATATAGACTGTAGAGTGAGGAATTTATGCCAAAATCATTATTCAATGGCATGGTAGAATGAAATATTAGGTAATCATTCTTTGGATAGTTTATCGATAGGTTATTTATTTATTTAACGGTTTGAAAG